TAAGTGGTCCACGGGTGCGCATTCGCTGTCAAAATAAAAAACGCGCACCAGATAAGAAGTTGCAACGCGCATTTGCGTACATAAGATTTGCTGGAGGAGGACAGAACTCTTAAAGATGTCGAAGAAGCAAGCTCCTTTAAGTAATTACTTTGGTGTTCCTCCACCTCCAAAGAAATGTCAGAAGGAGTCCGAACCACAAAGAACCGCATATTCTCGGAAAAGTGGTTGCAGGAAGTGAGCTGCCTTCAAACAAATGATGAACGCACAGAGATGTAGTGCAGAATGTGCCGTGAAAATCCCACTCTAGTGGACAAAAACAGAGCCTTTTATATGGACGCAAACGCGCGTTGCAACTTCTTATCTGGTGCGCGTCTTTTATTTTGACAGCGAATGCGCACATGCGGACCACTTATGTGCGCCCGTGTAAATAACATAATGTTCTGCCGGGTGTGTTGTTGGTTTCCCTCGATTTCTGAGTCGACAAGCGCCTTTGTTACTGGGACCAGTCATTTTAAGAAAGGCCCCCATTAGAACCCATGAGAAATGCAAGAAATGCATTATTGCTCAGTCTGCAATATCTTTCCCAGAACAAACACCAATTGCAAATAACATACTAAAAATAAACCTGAAAAATCTGTTTAGAACAGCGTACTATGTTGCAAAGAGTGAACTACCGCTGCCACAAATTAGCAGTCTTTGCAAACTTCAGAAAGCAAATGGCCTAGATCTTGGTTCCACTTACCTCTTACCCGTGGAAATTTCAAATTCAGGATCTGACACAGACTAATTCATGTTCTACACAGTTCTTACAAGTTCAAAGAAATGTCTGTTCAATTAGAATCAAGTATTTGAGTTGATGATTGTAATTTTTATACAATGTTGTCATTTGTGTTTCAACAATTTTTTGATTAATGTATAATATTGTAACGGAAACAAAACAGGAAACAAATCATCAATCAAAAAATTGCTCTCTTTTTTATTCGGGCTACTTAAATTTATTTTGGGCTACCAAAAACTGAAGAGTCCCTGCCTGAAGGGCTACCAGGGATTTTGAAATTTTGCGAGCCCTGCAGCTATAGTTAGTTGTTCTGATAATCTATTAGAGTTGTTTCTGAAGTATTCTCTCCTTTCTGTATTTCAGTAAAAAACAAAACAAAACAAAAAATCTTGCTGCAGTACAAAATCAAAATCTCAAAAATCAAAAAGTTTTGATCCTGATGACTGAACAATGCAGACAGAAGCACACAAGTATACATGCAAACAACAAAGCAGTACTTTAAATTGCACTCTATACTTAGAACCCCCCCTGATATTATACAAGCATGAACCCGTACCTTGTTGAAATAAATATGTGGGTGTTTCTTTCCCACAATCTGGAAATTCCCAATAAAAGGTAAAGCGAATGGTCCCGGTGGAAAATCTTTTGGATTCTTGTTTCTGAGGTGGTACACGATCAGAAGGAGCAAAAACACAGAGAGTAAAACTCCCTCGTTGCTCAGCAAAAAGTTGGAAAACCACATTGTTAAATTCAAACAAAGCTGATTCTTTCCAATCTGGAGATGTGATTCTTTCTGGTAGAAACCAGTGGTTTATAAACCTGATGCTTGATAAAATATTCATCTGATGCAAATGTTTATGATGCACAGTACTAATACTTGTCTGTTCAAAGGTTCTTGTGATATGGTGGTTACATAACAAGCTGGGCTACAAAACACAACCCATTTGCTCAGCTCTGCAGGATGAATTTGTTCAAGGCTGTTGAACTTACATCTACTCAAAGTGTAAATACTGCCCAGTGGTAACAAAAGTCATCTAGTAAATTCATCCTGCAATTTCATATACTTCTGAGTGGAAGTCACATGAACGATGACCAGGAATCATGGTTTTACTGTTTCTTTTGCTATATAGCTAAGATATATTGTCACATTGTCAACACAAATATACATAGTATATATGTAGTATGTTGTCATGGGTTTTCATGGACAAAGAATAAAAAAGGAGTGCCCTTTAAAACCTTATCTGTGATTAGATTACAGTGCACGTCTCAATTTCTGACTTGCAGGAGCAGGAGGGAAACTTTTTTTTCTGTTCTTCTCAGGTTAGTGATAAAGTGGTTTGTAAATGGACATACGCACGTTCCCTCACATTTGCACACACGACAGGTTATATGTTTTTGTATGAAGAATTTTTTATTGAACTTTTTATCCTGCGATGCGCTCTGAGTTCATAGTTAAACACATTTGACTGTCCAAGGGATTCAGAGATTCAGCTGGATATTCATTAAAGTGACTGATTGCTTTCAAATAGTGCAATTATCCAGGGTTCTGCTCATGAATCTGCTTGTTGATATTTGCCTCCACTGAACATTATTTACACTGTGAGTAGATGTAAGGTCACAGAGCCCGATGGGTCTGGATTTGCTTTGCAGACCATTTCACAAACGCTGTTTCTCAAGCACCTTTGAACAGAGAATATTCTATATGAACTTTGTCATGACTGATTTATTCTGAAGGTCTGCGTAGCAAAAAAGTCCATGAAGCATGAACAGGCTTATAAAACCGCTGAAAACCACAAACATACGACAAAGAGCGAAGGCAGAGTTAAAATTTAAACTTGAATGCACTGTTTAACTGAGTCTATTGAATGAAACTCAAATATATTTAATGAAAGACCAATGTCACAGAGGAACTGGCTCCAATTTCTGTTTTAGAAGTGTCATACATGATGCTAAAAGAAGTGATAACATGAATAAGTTTGCAGAGTAGCAGCACTCCTAAGCAATGAAGACATAATATAATGGAAAATGTACTAGTATTAAACTCCAGGGTTCAGTGCTGTACAATGGATAAAGGAATTTAGTCAGTGTTTCATCACAGATATGCAATTCATTCCATCTTAACCCAGGCATTTTTTAGAACAGCATTGTTATTCCCTCCTTTAAGACAATTAAACTTATTTTAAACTGTGAAACATCTACTAATCATGTTTGTAAAATATGCCATAGAATTGGCAAAATCTATATTTTAATATACCATTAGTCACTGACAAATCAACCTGGGTATTAACATTTAAAAGACATTCTTAAAATCAGCAGAGAGTACGAGGAGTCCAAGTTCCAGCCTTTTATTATCACACAAAGCTTTCAGTGTTATGTAACCTGACACGGGGGCTTGTTTTCCCAGAACTGCAGGTTCCACCCAAATAACATCAGACATACCAAAGCCCTGTCTGCAGAATCAGTGTGGTTCTCCACAAGGATCATCAATACTTTCACCATGGTTTTTCAAGCTCTTTTTGACTGTTTGAATTTTAGTAGTTGGCTGTTGCTTGCTTTTGTATTGCTGATTTTGTTTGATTTGATAAGAAACCGCAGACCTCGTAACTTTCCACCAGGACCCCGGGCTTTGCCTCTTCTAGGAAATGTTTTCACCGGAGTTGACTTCAAATCAATGATGAAGGTGAGCTTAACAGTCATGTAAAAGTAATGCATGCAACAGTATGCACATGCATTTTTTCCAGCAGAAGTTTGACTTACACACAACAACGTGGTCCACATGAAGTGCAAAAGAAATCACAACTGCAGAATAACAATATTGCAACTTAAAAGATTTTTAGTCATCACTGTCACACTTTCATACTGTGTCAGCAGTTTCAGTGGGGGATTTGGGAACTTCAATCTCTTAATGAAATATTTGTCATTGTCTACATATTGAAGGTATTACTTTGAAAAAAATAAATGTTTGTGAAACATTTCTCCTCCTAATTTTTCCTGCTTGCAGCTGGCTGAGACGTACGGTCCTGTGTTCAGTGTGAAGAGAGGCAGTGAGAGGATGGTGTACGTTGCAGGATACAAGATGGTCAAAGAGGCTCTTGTTAATCAGCTGGATAGCTTTATTGATCGACCAGTTCTTCCTCTCTTCCATATTATCTATAAGGGTCTTGGTGAGTATAGGGGCATCAAGGTCTAGGAACTGCCAAACATACCCCCTCCCACCCGCTCCACCAAGTGTCATCAGTCTGTCACTTTGACAAAAAGGGCTCATGATGTAACCAAGTATTCTAATTAAATTAAATCTAATCTCTAATTAAATACAATCTGAATATACTTTACTGAAGTATTTGCATTTTACAACTCATATTTTGGAGGGAAATATTACTTTGAAATATTACTCCACTACATGAAACTGTAGTTACTAGTTATTGCATAGATTTGTATTATTATTATTAAATATGTTTTGAGTATAAAGTATAACAATTATACGATTGTATACTATTAACTTTCCGTCATAAAATAAGCAGAAAGTAGACACAGCTGTAGCATGAAAGTGAAGTCACATTTGTTGTTGGAAAACATTTTACAAAGGACATCATATATATGCAGCATATTTTTTGTGGGAAAAACAGAAATATAACTGAGCAGAAACTAATTGTTAGTTATTCTATATAATATTGTCATAGGCATATCTTTGAGCAATGGCTACCTGTGGAGGAAGCAGAGGAAGTTTGCCAACACTCACCTACGTTACTTTGGAGAGGGCCAGAAGGCACTGGAGAAGTACATTGAAGTGGAGTGCAGCTTCCTTTGTGAAGCTCTCAAAGAGGAGCAAGGCAAGTAGAGTTCGGGAATTCACTCAGTTGGGCTGTTTGTTGTGCACTGAAATCATTTCTATAGCAGGATTTCTCTTGACCTGAGTTAAATTTGACATCTTCACAGGAAGACCATTCAACCCACACTACACCATAACAAATTCAGTGAGCAATGTGATATGCTGTGTGGTCTTTGGGCATCGCTTTGAATACACTGATCCAAATTATCGCAAAATTCTGGAGCTGGACAATGAGGCTATTGTGCTTTCTGGTTCAGCCCAAGCACAGGTATTCCTTATGTAAACTATTGTAGTAATAACAAAATAAGCTGTGTTGGTCTATTGCTGTTCTGAGAGACTGTCGTCATCAACAGCTCCTTGATGCCTTTCCTGACTTGATGAAGCACCTGCCAGGGCCTCATCAGACTATCCAAAACAACTATAAGGAGCTTTTGGCATTTGTAAAGAAGGAAATAGAAAAGCACCAGGAGGACTGGAACCCTGAAGACCCTCGTGACTTTATTGATGTTTATCTGTCAGAGATGGAGAAGGTAATATGAAGGCATTTCTAACAAAGCTTATGAATCCTGTTAGGTCAAGAATTGCATGCTTTTGCATCCTTGAACAAAGTGAACAAAGCCAGCAGTTTCTGCTCAAAATAGATAGTTTAAAATTTAATTTATATTTACAACTAAAGCACATATCATTGTAAAGAAAAGAAACACACACACACACACACACACACACACACACACACACACACACACACACACACACACACACACA